TCTGGCAGAGACTCAATGAGCAATACCTCTCGAGTGAGTTGGCGCATATAGCTCGGGCTTGCGATGTAAGGACAGCGTGGGTGACTCGGTGGGAGTAGTAGGAGGATTCAGGAAGCAGCTAAAGGGAACGTACCTCCGAAAGAAGCGTGGCGGAAGTCTACTAGTGCGGTGCCTTTTGATCCCAAGATTCCGGGCTCGTTGAGGATGTAGTGACACGCGGTGGTGAGTTGATCTTCATGTTGGTATCAGACGTGGTTCGAAAGGGGTGGTTGCCGGTCCTATTATGGCACGTAATGCACAGAAAGCTGCTGAACTGCAGGCTGAGAAAGTCCTGTTGGAAGAAGAGTAGGTCGGGGAGTGTTGGGAAGTATTGTAGTGGGGGGACCAGGCACGAGAGGCTTATGTCACGACGGAGGGCTGGGAGAAGTGAAGAGGAGTCCTCAGCGAGGGAGCCTAGTGGTAGGCAGCAGCGATAGTGGAGGGGGTCTTATGTAATGTTGTAGGAGATCAACAGTTTGGGAATAGTCGCGAAGGTGGAGATCGCCTGTGGAGGTTGGTGGCTGCTGCCTTGGTTGCGTATGGTTGCTATCTCGGAGTCTAGGTATGAATCGAGGCGGCACGATCCGCGTTATCAGGATCTAGTGCATGAGGATGCGCGCCGCTTGCAGGAGTTATGTCATCGGAAAAGGATGATGGATAGGAAGCTGAAGTGGTTGAAAGAGAATAAGTAGTTCTTTGCGTGGGGTGATTTTCCCATTTTTGTATCAGTTTGCCTGATCCGGCTAAGGTGGCGAAGTACATGACGAGGGTGAAGAGGAGCCAAGAGAAGGAACCTGGAGGGGAAATGTATTGGTCGTTCGGTGTGGAAAAATATGCACATGTATCGCTGACAGTAATTTCGATAAAATTGTGGTTTTGCATATTTACTTCTATAACGTGAGAAATCTCCCGAGCTCAGCTGAGAAGAGCGAACACATATTTCTCCAGCACTGGGGTTTAGGTATCCACCACCATTCCAAGTGGAATCGCCTAATGTGAGGAAGGAGACGAAGATGCTCTCACGTGGGTCTATGGGGAGGATGGGGAGTGTGGTAATAGTTTGTTTTCAGAAGCTGAAAGAGACACGTTGGAATCGAGATTGCGGACTAAAATCCGAGAGGAGAAGAAACTCAATGTTAGAGTAGGAAAGTTGCCCTTCTTGCTTTTCGGCTAGCGAGGGAGGGTGTGTTTTCTAGGTTTTACGACAGAGTGAGCCTGCTGTTGGTGAAGTTATCACAGATCCTATTGCGCGCCATAGAGCAATGCGGAAGCTCCGGACTAGGTCCATCATTAGCGTATTGATAGGAGGTCTATGAGCAGGACTGTTGGAGTTGGTGTTGCTGTTATCAGGAACATCTGGACGGTATCCTTACCTCTAACAGTGCACAGATAA